ATTGGTAAAGGTATCTTTCTCAGCCGAAGCTATATTTTTAAATGCAGTCTCAGTGGACATGCATTTGGCAGAACTGTCTAGTCACAGTAGCCACGCCCCCTCTTTGGTCATTAATCACAAAAGAGAAATCAGCTCATCACACCTGTGTATTCCCTTTATTAATTTCATTCCAGTTCACTTACCTGGGCACGTTTCACACTACATGAGTTATCCTGTACACAGCTGAGTGTCTTTATGTTCAAGGTGATTTTGTCTCTGACTGTCTGATGAACCAGGCTATCTCTAGCGGGGTCAAACCCATCACAGGTCAGATGAGTGCTATAAGCCAGGTTCATCTCCATGGCAACCTTATTTGGTGGCTTGTACTCTGCAAGAGATATGAAGTGTACAGAGGCAACTGAGGCAATGCTCACTCTATGGTTCCAGCAACACTTTAAGGAGCAACTCAAAGGAAAACATGTTTTCTCTGATTTGTATCTGTTCAAATACATACGGAAGCATCCAAATCGAACGCAGTGTCATTTGTCTTAAGAGCTCAACTACAACAAGCTGAAAAGGTTTTTTTTTCTGTTCAAGCCAAGATGCAAATTCTGAACATGCTGAATATAGATTGCATCATTCAGGGCAAAGAGAGAAACCGAGGGGAACCCTCGCCCTGTGTTCATAGTGGATAAACCCATGTGCATGCAAAACAATGGCTACATGCACAGTTTGGTAGGCACATGGGTTTATGCATTACCAACACAGGGTGAGGGTTCCCCTCTGTTTCTCTGTTTTCCCTGCATGATGCAATCTATATTCAGCATATTCAGAATTCCCATCATGGCCTGAACAGAATAAAGCCCTTTTTAGCTTGTTATAGTTGAGCTCTGAAGACAAATGACACTGCGTTCGATTTTGATGCTTCCATATTTATTTCAACAGATAAAATCAGAGAAAACAACGGTTACCTGTGAGCTGCTCTTTAAACAGATTGTCAGGTTGCACGTAAAAAATTATTTCAACAGGATTTAAACACCTGCATCTCCAGGATACAAAACTGACTGAAAATGGACTCGAACATCCAACCACCAGAACGCAAAATTGACTGAGGCAAGCCTGGAACCCTCCAACCTCCAGAATACAAAATTGAATGAAGCAGGAATTTCCAAGAGTGAGGAATTAATGCAAATTACCCGCCAAACATATAGAAATAACTTGGAATCAATATTAGTGATATTTCCATGTCAAATTATACAGGTCAAGTGTAACAGGGACACAAACATTTATAGAATGACCCATGTCTGAAAATTACCTCCTCTAGTTTGAAAGGGTAAGTCAAATTCTAGGTTCATTGAATCTGCACTGATATCCG